TCTAAGAAATATTAGATTTTATTCACTAAAGATAAATTCTTTCTATAATATAGGAGTCTGTCCAACCTTCATGGTAGAACTATAAGGGAGTTTAAAGGACCTAGAGGTTGCTTTGAATAAGGGGTGGAGGCAAAACATTTTTAAAAGTGATGCGAGCAATGTCATCACTATGCTCACTAGGCAAGGTGATGCAGCTCGCGAATCTCACTTAGTAGCTCGAGTACGAGTATGGTTGTCAAGAGATTGGAATATTGGAATATTAAACTAGTTCATACATATCGTGTAGGTAACTCGTATGCAAATTGACTTGTTAGCTTTGGATTGGATCATGGACTACCGTTGTCTCTAATGTTGTGAGTTAGCCTTTGATCCTCTGAAGAAGTGTGTTTAGGAGGTGATTTTATGGTGAATCAATCATAAAAACTAACATGCATGAAGTTCAAATTTTAAGTCTTTAAAATGCATGAGTTTGAAGAGGGTTTGTCTAGTTGATGATGTTGTGACATGAATAGACCTTGGTGCCTTCACCAAATATGCTAAGGAATGATATTTAGTGGTGAAAAATTAATGAAATAATCATTTGGGCTACCTATGTGTGTTGGCATAAATTTATGTATGAAAAAGTATGGTATCTTGCATTCAAGTAATGTTGTGAATGATGATGGTCATGTTAGTTGTTTGTGAGTTGATGGTGATTATTATACATTAAATATTGTAGTGTTAATTGGATTAGTTGGTAGCCATTGGAAAACTTGGATTGTGGATGAAACCACCAAAGCATGCTTCGGCCATCTTGTGAAAATATGCATAGGAAGCTTGCAAAATTTTGAATGAAGCTTGGAATCAAATTCTAGGTTTATTTCAAGTATTGTTAAGGTCAAAAAACCTTGTTTGGTTTAGTGTTCATGTTGATTTCTTAAATGTGAGTATTCTTGAGAAATTGGGATAATTGGTCATGACTAGATATTGGCGTGATTGGTTATGTTAAATATGATGAGAAATAGTCCTTAATGATGGAAATATGATAAAACCAACTTAAACACCATGTTAGAATTTGATGAAGTAATTAAAGTGTTAAACTTTGTCACTTTAACGCTTGAAATGGAACTCTTATGGTGTTGGTTGTTTGGTTGATAACCTAGGTTGGGAACAAGTGACTTTGTGCTAGGAGATCAAGTGTTGGACTAGTTTTCTTGGATTTCAAGTAACTTGAAAAGGAAGCTACAAGAGGTAAGCTCTTGGTTTAGAAGTTTTTTTTTTGTTACATAAACGGGGCTAAAGCCCCAGAAAACAAAACAAAACAGAAAAACTAACAGAAAACAAACACAAGAAAAGTAAAAACAACAAATTAAACAGGAGCAGCAAGGGTGATGTCTCCTGGATCAAGACAATCAGCAGTGAACAACTTTTGTAGTTCAGGATGAGGGGATGAAAAAGTAGAGAGCCCAAAGTCCTTGTTGATGGCATCTTTGGCTAGCCAATTCGCACAATTATTGCTAGCTCTAGGAATATGAGATATAGTCACCAACCAATCTCTATCAAGTAAAACTCGAATCTTAGCAACCAGTGGAAGCTTTCGAGTATCATTACCATCCAAGGTAAGTAAGTTAACTACTACAAGAGAGTCACTTTCAATGTCAATCTTCCTTCACCCATTCTCCCAAGCAAAATTTAAACCATAGAAAACAGCCCAGATTTCAGATAGTAGGGGGGAACAAGAGCCCAAAAAGGACGAAAAACCACCTAGCCAAGTACCTTTATGATCTCTGAGAAGACCACCACATGCAGCTTTTTCATTAGAAACAGGCCCATCAACATTTAGCTTGATTGTATCAACTTCAGGACAGGTCCAGGATGTAATGGCATTCTCAGAATAGTAGCTATTGCATAGACTAAGGGATCTGCTCGAGTTAATCTGATTTAAGAAGGATGATATGCAAAGCTCATGATTATTTGGCCTAGAGAAATTCTCTTCATGGATTTCAGCATTCCTCCAATACTTTGTTTGTTCCACCATGGTCCAATAGGATTGTGGTTTGGATATATGTATGGTTATGTATGTTAGATACTTAGTATAATTACATTCATGTAGGATATGTATATGTGATATTGTGATATATGTATTTGTGGTTATGACCATTAAACATTTCGTGAGGACCAAGGTGCTCAGAGGAATGTGTTATCTTCTGTAAGGACCAAGGTGCTCATAATATTTTGTTATCTTCCGTGAGGACTTATGTTCTCAGATATTTTGTCAGGATTATCCGAGTGAGGACTTAAGCTCCTGGAAGTCATCTTTTATTTATGATTCTATGATGTTATCTATACTCTGTATCTAATGTTTCATGCAGAAAGTAAACTCTTGGGTGAGGATTACTCCATAAACCTTGAGTTTACTGAGATGTTGTATCTCACCCCATTTGGGGAACATGTTTCAGGTTAGAGGACTCGACTGAAATAGATATTTAGTTTATTTTGGAGGATTGTACATATTCTTTTATAGCATGATATATGACCATGCACTGTTGTACAATATGATATGTGTGTTGAGAGATATGTATATGATGTATATATTCTGTAGTTAGGTATGTTTAGCCTTTTACAGTTATATGCTTTTGAAATTGACATGTATAAGTATGTATATATGATATGTTAGATTATGTAAGTATTGGCATGAAGTCATTATCTCTATGAATCTACAGATAGATTCTAGGTCCATATGTATTGGACTATTCTGTATATGTTTGGACTAGACTTTTATGGATTCCAAGATTGTACAAGATTGTGGGATTTTATCCTTGAACTGTCTAGTTTACAACGAAAATGTCATTCGTAAGTTTCTATCTGGAATGATATGTATTATCATATCTGGGTAGTTATTGACCATTAGTAATGGTTATGTTGTGCAATTTGCAATCAATCACACAAATATGCAAGTGCATGTGTCACAAGTAATAAAGGGATGTATAAGTCCAAGATCGTTTCCATGGACATGATTTATAAAAGCAATGCTTATTTAAGTAAAGAAATTAGAAAAAGATTGATTTTTATGGCTGGGTTTGTAAAGTAAAAGACAATTAAACTAAGAAAACAGTAAGCTAATTCTAAGATATTAAAGTGATGGATGAGATTTAGGTCAAATTCAATTTTCCTGATACAGCAATACTGAAACGATGCTATAACAATGCTCTATCAATGCTTAATTAGTAACTGAACACTAAAGTATGCTGGGGCTTTTGATCAACCTAACATATATACCTAATAACTAATTCTCACATCTCTATGGCCAATTTAATTATCGAATTCATTAAGTTCAAGTTCAAAGGCTATGTGTTGTGAATGATCTCTCTACTACAACTTAATTAAGTTACTTTTCTTCACCTAATTAATCCACACAATTCAACAAGGGTCTGGATTAGGAAACCTCTCGGCCCCAACCTCCTCAATATCATATATGTATCTCTCGACATGCATACATGAATATAAATAAGCAAACTTGTTAAAAAACTAATTAAACATTCATAAAAACAAAGCTTATGCATCTATTACAATGTTACAACATAAGTACTTTATCACCCAATCTAAGGAGCAATTTAGCTCACAATGGAAATAAAGAAAATAGAGAAGAAGAAGAAGAATGAATCCATAGAAAAACATAAGAAAAGACTAAAAAGATGTTCTTGTAAGACTCTGTCACAGTCTTGCTCCAACAACTCTTCCTCCTCCAAGAATCTCTCTCTCTCTATATATATAAATGTGATGTGGTACTACCTTCAGTCATTCTAGCTTATTGAATTCGTAGGGTGGTCTTGTTTAAATAGAAAAAATGGTTGGTTACTTGGCCTTAACTTTGGGAGTGAAAATCCATGAATTGTACTGCTGCAGCATTATCTTATCCTTATTTATATGGCTGTTGGCACTTGATTGTATAAGATCTTGATCTTCTTGAATTTATTCTGCCAATATTATTGCTGATCAGATAAGAGTTTGTTATCCTTGGTTGTTGGGATTTAAGATGTGATTTTATCTTCAAAAATATCCCCATCCCTTGCTTGCTGGTGCTTTATCCATTTGTTGGGGAATAACTAACTTTTGAAATTTGAATTTCAATTGTTCCACTGTCCTCGCTATCATGCCATCCCGATTGCTATATCATTATTTTGTCAGCTTCTTTGCTACAACACTCGAGCGTCAACTTTTCCTACGAAGATAAACACTCAACAAGTCATATTTTCTTACACAAAACCAAGGAATATTGTCTCATTTTTCATACTTAGTCATCCCAAAGCACTTAATCATGGAAATCCAATATTCAGTTCAATTATCATGCAATTAAGATATTTTATATGGAATTTATGCAACAAATTCATTATAAAAATACCAAATTAACTCTCATTTGGGAGAGCTAACAACTTATGATAATATGAAAAATATAGTATGAATGACAATACGTAAGGAAAAATAAAAGGAAAAAGTTAAGTCACATAGTTATATAAGATACTAGTGATATTTTCAAAATTATTCTACTTATTATTTAAATATGTTGCGCTTTTAAATACCATATTGCATATTAACTAATCGGCTCGAAACAACGTTATACTTATTATTCATAAAACTAGCAAGGTGTAATGGGCCAAGTAGTGGGCTCAGATCATTTGGTATGAAGGAAGACAAAACCTATATACCTCAAGGATTACATCCTGGAGTAAGGCACATGTATCGTGGGCTAATGTTGGCAGGCCCATTGAAGTCAGCAACTAATATCATTTCCCTTTTATATTACCCAGTCCAATTTAAATTCCAGTATTACCATGTAACTCAGCTGAGAGTATAAGTATCGAAGTTAATGAAGTAATAGATAAGTAATATTCAGAAGAATTCTCTCTTCCCTAAATTCTCTCTTTCTCTCTATTTCTCTCATCTCTTCTTCTATCAGAAATGTATTTCCATCTTAAAATAAGCTCATATTACATTGGTGCTTTCATTGCTATTCCTGAACTATGGCTGACAACACACGTGTCTGTGACCTTACTAACCAGCTTCATATTCAAGAACAACAATTCGTCACACTCGAGCAGACTGTTGATCATCGCGTGGAAACTTTTGAGACTGCTCAAAACCAGCAATTTGAAGAGCACAATCAAAGTTTTGAGGCTGTCAATCACCAGATCCAGGAGGTATTCACCCTTTTACAGACAATGCTACAGCAGATCGCAAATCTAGGGTCCGGTTCTCAGGCGAGTCTCCTGGGTTCACCACCCGGACGTCCTGCTTCCCAGACGCGTTCCATGAAAATTGAATTTCCACGGTTTGGCTTGGGCGATCCTAGCCCATGGCTCTTTGCGGTGGATAGGTATTTTCGCTATCACCATGTTCCCGATCATAAGCGATTAGATCTTGTCTCTTTTAATTTGGATATGCCTGCTTCTTGTTGGTTCGAAGCTCTTTTTAGCAATGGTCAATTTCCAGATTGGCTCTCTTTTGTCACTATTATTCAGCAATGATTTGGCCCTTCTGAATTCGAAGATCCTTTGGGTTCTTTAGCCAAATTACAGCAATCGGGTTCTGTTATGGAGTTCCAATCAACGTTTGAGTTGCTTGCTCGACGTGTTCCAGCGTTAACACCGATTAATAGAAAGATCCTTTTCATTTCAGGCTTAAAACCCCACATCCGCCGTGCAGTTCTAGTTCACAGGCCATTAGATGTTACAACAACTCTTGCTTATGCCAAATTGTATGAAGAACAGTCAGCGGACAGTCAAAATGCTCGGCCATGGCAAAATCTTACTGGCTCCAATACACCTATAGCTGCCCAACCAATTACCTCAGTCCCTCCTACCACCAAAATCCCTCTGTCATTACCTGCACTTCCCATTAAACGCCTAACTCCTGAGGAACGCCAAGCATGTAGGGAAAAGAACCTTTGTTACAATTGTGACGAAAGGTTTGTGGCTGGCCACAGATGCAAGGGTCGTGCCATTCTCTTATATTTGGAAGGTACAGAAGATGAACCGCCTGACATTCTTGATAACCACACACAGGAAACTCCTCCTGTTGACACGCTACAACCTTTTGTCTCTGATGTTTCTCCGAAAATCAGTTACAATTCGTTGTTTGGTCATAGATCAGCCAATTCCTTCTGTTTGCAGGGATCAATTGTGGGTAAACCGGTCCAAATTCTGGTGGACGGCGGTAGTACTCATAATTTTGTAACACTCTGTATGGCTTTGTACTTGTATCTCACACTACATGTTATCCCTCCTTTCAAGGTTCAGGTGGGAAATAGTGATGCTCTCACTTGTTTAGCCATTTGTAAGACAATTACTGTTGATATTCAATCCAATTTGTTCACTGTGGATTTGTATGTCATTGATTTAAAAGGGGCTAACATCGTTTTAGGGGTTCAATGGCTCGCCACTTTGGGCCCCATTCTAACAGATTATGCTGCTTTCACTATGTCCTTTACTTATAACAATTCACAGGTTTTACTCCAAGGCATAGGCGCAGTTACTTCTAGCCAAGTCAGTTTGTCCCAATTGCATAAACTCATACTTCAAAACTCTGTCTCTTCATGCCTCATGTGCTTCACCTCACCAGAGATTTTACCCCCACCCTCTACACTAGTTTCAGGGCCTTCTAGGGAGTTGTCTACCTTACTGCAACAATTTACTGACAATTTTGCAGAACCTACCTCTTTGCCTCCAGACCGTGATTATAACCATCACATCCACCTCTTACCCAATTCCAAACCCATTCAAGTAAGACCATATCGCTACCCCCACTACAAAAAAAATGAGATAGAAAAATTGGTGGCAGACATGTTACACAAGGGCCTCATCCAGGGCAGTCATTCAGCCTTCAGCTCCCCAGTCTTATTGGTCAAAAAGAAAGACGGCACTTGGAGATTCTGGGTAGACTACCGTGCCCTTAATGCCATTACTGTGCAAGATAAGTTCCCTATTCCTACTATTGATGAGTTATTAGATGAGTTACAAGGGGCCACAGTGTTCTCTAAACTAGATTTGAGGTCTGGCTACCATCAAGTGAAAATGAACCCTGCTGACATGCACAAGACAACTTTCAGGACTCACTATGGGCACTTTGAGTTTGTGGTTATGCCCTTTGGGCTTTCCAATGCCCATTCCACCTTCCAATCCACCATGAATGCCATTTTTTCTGAATTTCTCAAGAAATTTGTCGTCATTTTCTTTGAAGATATTTTAGTCTATAGCTTTTCTCCAGAGATTCATGTGGATCATTTGACTGCTGTATTTAGCACCATGCGTTCTCACTCATTGTTTGCTAAGCTGGAAAAATGCGCATTTGCTCAAAGTGAGATACCCTACTTGGGTCATGTTATTTCGGGACAAGGTGTCACTCCTGATCCGGATAAAATTAAGGCTATAGTCGAGTGGCCAGTTCCTACAACCTCTACTCAAGTTCGAGCATTTCTGGGGATTTCTGGTTACTATCGGAAATTCATAAAAAAATATGCTACAATGGTCGCTCCTCTCACCGATTTACTATCCAAAACTGGTTTTATATGGTCTGAGTTGGCCAATCAGGCCTTTGAGACTCTGAAACAACTTTTGGTATCGACTCCTATTTTGGCTCTCCCCAATTTCTCATACCCTTTCATGGTGGAAACAGATGTTTCAGGTGTGGGTATTGGCGCGGTTCTATTACAGAAGGAGAAACCAATTACCTATTTTAGTCGCAAACTTTCCCCAACTATGCAACGACAGTCAGTCTATGTCAGGGAGATGTTTGCCATTACCTCCGCCATCAGCAAGTGGCGCCAGTATTTACTGGGTGCACCTTTTATTATACGCACGGATCATAAAAGTTTACATAACCTGATGAACCAGGTTATTCAGACCCCAGAGTAGCAACAATTCCTTTCTAAACTATTGGGGTTTACTTACACAATTGTGTATAAGGCGGGAAAGACCAACACAGTGGCCGACGGCCTTTCTAGACCGTATGTTGGGGGCTCCGCGAACCAGCTACCCTAGTTTATGGCCATTTCTGGCCCATACTTCATTATACTCAGAGGTTAGAATCAGAATACAAGTCAGATGAGTACTCTACGCAGCTAATGGATCAATTACAAAATAATCCTACAGCTCTAACTGATTGGCAGTTCCACAATGGCCTTCTACTCCACCGGTCCTGCATTTTTCTTCCTACAGGGTCTTCTTTGATTCCACACATCCTCCATGATTTTCATACCTCAGTGCAAGGTGGGCACTCCGGAGTTCAGGCCTGCATCCATCGAATTCATCGGAACTTCACTTGGAAGGGATTGCGCAAAGACGTTAAAGAATATATACACAACTGTGAAACATGCCAAAAATTAAAAGCTCCTAACCACTTGCCTTTCGGACTACTGCAACCGTTACAAATACCAGACACCCTCTGGGCTCACATCAGCATGGATTTTATCACCCATTTGCCCAAATTTGCCAGCCACACTGCAATCTTGGTAGTTGTTGATAGATTCTCCAAGGCCGCTCATTTTGTTCCTCTTCCTGCTACCTATTCAGCAGTGATAGTTGCCCAATTTTTTTGGGATTTTATCGACAAGCTTCATGGGCTTCCCGAATCCATTGTGACAGATCGCGATCCCATCTTCCTCAGTGATTTTTGGAGATCTCTTTTTAAGATGCAAGGTACAAAGTTAAATTTTAGTTCCAGTTACCACCCCCAATCTGATGGACAAACCGAAAGGGTAAACAAATGTTTGGAAAATTACCTTCGAGCGTTTACTCACGCTCATCCGTCAACCTGGTCCAAGTTCCTAAGCCTGGCCGAGTATCATTACAACACATCCTTTCATTCTTCCACCAGAATCACACCGTACCAGATCATGTTTAGCCGTCCACCTCCGAACTTGTTAGCTTACTGTTTAGGAACTTCCTCCAACGACATTGTTGACGTTACACTGGCTGACAGACAGTCCCTTTTGGGAACATTAAAGGAGAAACTTTTCAGAGCTCAACAAAATATGAAAGCTCAAGAAGATAAAAGGCGAAAAGATTGGCACTTTACCTCTGGGGAATTGCTTCTAGTCCGTATGTAGCCGTATCGACAGCTCTCTGTCGCTCGCCGATCTTCCCAGAAGCTCGCCCTTCGCTACTATGGACCGTTTGAGGTTGAAGAAAGGATTGGCTCAGTGGCTTATCGGCTAAAGTTACCACCTTCAACACGGATCCATCCGGTTTTCCACGTTTCTTTATTGCGACCTTTTCACGCAGGACATAAGTATAAGGTTCATCCTTTACCCATGGCTGACAAAGAAACCCCACTCCTGCACTTTCCATCTGCTGTGGTTGGATCTCGACACATTTGGAGGAAGGGGGAACTGATACCACATGTTTTGGTTCAGTGGCAAAATTTACCAGTGGAAGACTCCACTTCGGAGGACCGGGCTATGGTGTTGAACACCATAAGTACAGACCTCAACCGGATGACGATGATAGGAGCAAAGGAAGAAGAAAGGCTCAGTGGAGAGACTGAACGAGAAAACGTGCAAAGGACCTCTCTGACCAACTCACCCACTTCACCTCACATTAATGTCCAACAGCTACCTAGGACAACTCAACTGGTTCCCACCTCGACGATCCAGATCATTCCCTCTGCAACATCTCAGCCCTTGGTTGCTCCTGATGCACTACAGCTGGAACCCACCATCCCTTTTGATCCAACGTCCCAGGTTTGTTGCTGTCGTGGAGAAGGGATCTCAATCGTTCGATTCCTACCCATCACCAGAGTCGTTCCCAGCCAACCACGCGTCCTTGCCATTACGACTTGAGGACAAGTCGGATTTTGCAGAGGTGGGCAATGTAATGGGCCAAGTAGTGGGCTCAGATCATTTGGTACGAAGGAAGACAAAACCTACATACCTCAAGGATTACATCCTAGAGTAAGGCACATGTATCGTGGGTTAATGTTGGCAGGCCCATTGAAGTCAACAACTAATGTCATTTTCCTTTTATATTACTCAGTCCAATTTAAATTTCAGTATTACCATATAACTCAGTTGAGAGTATAAGTATCAAAGTTAATGAAGTAATAGATAAGTAATATTCAGAAGAATTCTCTCTTCCCTAAATTCTCTCTTTCTCTCTATTTCTCTCATGTCTTCTTCTATTAGAAACGTATTTCCATCTTAAAATAAGCTCCTATTACACAAGGTGCAGTGCATACAATATTATACGATTCGTGTTTGGATACTGACTTCAAAATTAATTACGGAAAATAAATTTTTTGCCATTTAGTTAAAATTCCTGAAGTGAAAATCTATACATAGCTAAAGATCATAATATATATAGGTATCAATTTTATAACAAGCTTTTTGACTGAAACATGCTGTGATGTCAATCGAAAACTTCATTTTTACTGATTTGTCAATGAAATTCTCTGCTAAAACATCGAAAATTTCAGTTGTACTGATTTGTCAATGAATTTCTCATATGATACATATTACCACTTGGTAGTTCAAAAGGGCTATTAGTCTACTACTAGCTACCTATTTGCTGAACAATTTTTCTTTTCTTTTTAAACCGATAGTGCATAGATCTCATCATACGTTCGTTAATTATGAACTGCAGATTCAATATGTTATTTTAAAATTTGGGATTATGATAATTTCTTACTGACATTATAATTTGCAAATAGCCAGAGCAAAACTAGTCTTTGTTCCCAATTTCCCCATAGAAATTCTGTTTGGTTTGTTTCTGTATAAATTTCTGGTTGCAATGTTTTTCAATTTAAAATCAGAAGAGTGAATTACTAACTAGTGAGTGGCTACACCTTGATGTCCACGCTCTCCTTGCTCGCGAGGTTTCTTCCTGGGGAAGTTCCCATCTCGTACAATGCCACCGAATTAAATGCAAACGATAGTCAACTCTAAGTAACATGACAAATGATATTTTTATTGCTACCATTAGCTGGCTGTCATTTTCCCATATGGAAAGAATTTCAGATATTCTTCTTGACTTTGTCGATATCAATAAACGATTCGAAATGACTCCACTTTCCCATTATCAACTTCTGAAGATTATTTGCAAATAGAGTTGTCATGTAAAGCGATCACGATATTCAACTTGAAGAAAGAAGACTAATGACATTTTTTATTGATACCGTTAGCTGGCTGTCAGTTTCATTATATCTAATTTAAATACGATATTCAACGCTCATAAGAGACAAATGGCATTTATTGCTCTCTTTTTATTACTTGTAATTTTCAAGTACACTTATATAGGATATTTTCTAGGAAGATGCACATGTTTATACGGATATATCTATTGAAACCCAAAGATTACTTACATTCCACCTTAGAGCAAAAGAGCATTGCGCATTGTTTGTCTTTTCGGTTCCTGTCTGAGTCTTCAATCAACTCTTTACATTGCAGTTTATACAACACAAAAAACTCCCCCCCAAAAAAAAAGAAATAGAAAGAAAAAGAGAAACAAAGGTATGTTTGATTGTGTATGTGTTTTTTTATTTTCAAAACTGTTTTGTAGAAATTTGTGATATGTTACCGAAAGTTAAAAATTAAAATACAAAACAAAAATAATATAGATATATTTTTTAAATTTGATTCTAAAAACTAAAAAACAGTTATAATTTTTAGAACTATTTTTATAAAATAAACCTTATCAAATAAGTTTTTTTTTTTTTTTTTTTTTTAAATTAAAAAACTGTTTCTAAAAACAAAATTCAAACGGGCTTGCCGATTGTTTGAGATTTCTTTTACTTTGCAGATTGATTCTTATACATTTGGTTTTATTTTTGAGTCATTAATTCTTCATTTTTATCTTTTAGATTCTTTGTTTGAATTATTCTTTATAATTTTCTGCTTTTCAGCTCGCACAACCCAAGAAACTGAAGAAGAAAAAATGTTGCTGATTGTTTGTGTTTTAGTTTGAGTACTGACATTTCCCTTTGAGATTTGTCGTTTTAATTCCAGGTTAGAGTTTCTTGTTTTTGAGCTCATAAACTCCAGAAAATCCCAAAAAAAAAAAAAAAAAAAGGTAAACGAATTGGAGTTTGAAGTATAGCATCTGTTCATTAATTTGAAGTATTGGAGTTTAATCAACAAGTGAGAAGAGGTCAGAGTTTGTTCTCCTCAACTTAGTTATGTTGTACATATCTAGCTGCTTAACTGAAGGAGATTAAAACCTTTAATCCATGCTGGTACTCTGTTAATTTATGATCATAATATTATTATTGTTATATTTGTTGCAGACTACTTAGTTTTTGGTTCTGAAGTCATTTACGTCACCGTATTTGTTAAAGAACATCAACATTGCCAATCAACTACACCTGAGTCTGCTTAGTTGCTCCATTCATACCTGTAAGAGGTTCGTGCTCTTTAATTATTTGTAACATGTTTGGAAATAAATAAATTTTAAAAATTAAAAACAATTTTAGTCCTAAAATTGAGTTAATCTAAAGTAGCTATTATTATTTATTTGGTATGTTTTGTCAACACTTAATCCTGACCTAGCCATAAAAGAAATAAATTTAATTTAATAATAAAAAAATTGAAATATATATATATATATATATATAATTAATCAAAAATACTTATTTAGTTGGCATTTTTTATTTATTCCTTTGTAACACACATCTTTTATCTAGTTTGTGTTAGCATTGTGACTTTGTTTGAATTATTCCATTTTGAAACAATTTTTTTTTATTATTAATTAGCTGTTAGCGTTCACTTACTTATGTTGTTGTTTAATCGGAAGAGATCATGTTTGATATTGGATCTATCTATTAGTGATTACCTAGGGAGGAGGTGATCACAGGTGACGACGACAAATCACTGATGTAAGGATCCAATGTTTGGTGGTGCATATGCAATGAATATGAGAGTTAGGATTTTAGAAGTGTATACTTGAGGAATGCACCTATGTATTTATAAGAGAGGTTATCTTTTAAAAACCTGACCTGTTTAATTGGTGGATGGTGGAGAGTTCATCTGCGAAGACCTGTTTAATGGCTAAAAAGGAACCCCTCAATGTAGACCCTCTGAAAGCCTCTTGTCCAGTCCATGGAAAATTCCCCAGAGTTTAGCTCTAAGGGGCGTTTGGTACAGGAGAAATTTTTATTTGTCCGAGAATCTCAATTTTCAAAAATATGATTTTTACATTCAGTTTACCATAATATCTAGAAATTTAAAATTTAGAAAAATTCAGTTTCCCGGGAATCCGGCCAAATGCCGTGTACCAAACGCCCCCTAATTGCATTCCTGTGACCAATATTCCTGGACACTAGCACTGTTGTCCCGGATCACATGACCTCCATAGCTTGAACTCAGCCCACCGTTAGCAGTAGAGCCATCTACGTTGACCTTTACCCACCCTGATGGAGGATAAACCCAGTGGACAATGCTTTCCTTCTCAATGCTGGAGATAGAATAACAATAATAGATAAAGTACAATAGAAATATAAAAATTTCACTCAAGAACAAAATATTGCAACACTAATCTCTATTTCTATTTCTCACAAATCCCTCTTTTATTTTTCTTACAAGTGTTTCATCTCACAAGTGTTGTGTTGTTGAGAATTTCAATTCCTCTTATATAAATTGTTGAAAATTTAATGGTATACTCTGATACCACTTGTTAAAAATAGGATAAAATAAATATGAGAAAAAGATGAACTTTTAATAATAACAAACAAAACACAAGTGTTATAACACTGACTAATTTTTCTCTTAAAGATAACTCTTTTTCAAACTCTCTTTTCTTCTCTCTAACAGTATCTCAGTACTCTTTTTCTCACACACTAATAGAACTCTCTCTTTCTATTTTTCCTCTCAAGTGCTGCGCACTTTCTTTTCTTTTCGTTCAATTCCACTCTTCTCTAATACCACTCACACATACAATACATACACCTATATATATAGACTTCAACTAACCGACTTGTCTTCTCTAAAATTATAATATAATATTGGCAAACTATCCAATTCATCTTGAATTTGTCTTCCTTTTCTTTACCGCCACAAGTTCCTTTTCTTTCTAACAATATATTATAATATTCAACTTCTACAACTTTCTACCAATCTAACTTGCTTTTCAAAATTGTCTTCTTTTTCAATTTGTTTTTTCTTTGACCAATTCATTTTCCATTTCTTTCAAGAATGCTCTAATAACTTCAAATCTTCATACAACCTTCTACTTTCTTCATAGCCAATTGTCGTGTTCTTCTATTAGATGGTAGATAGCAGCCTCTTATAGCTTCTTCGTACTTCCAAATAATTAATAATAGTTGCAAAGTATGATTTGAATTCTAACAAGTGTTTCAACATTTTCTTTTCTCACACTTTTTCGAACATTCCAAGGGTTGGCAAAGGTAGGAAGTAATTGTCGGTGCAAAAAGAGGCACGGATAATGAGCGGCTCATGCCAAATCTTGCAACTGCAGGGGTACATACATGAATCGTCAACACCCGAAAGCGAGAGATTCCAGAGATTGTGCTGGTATGGGATGGTATAGTTGGGGATAACTTATAAGAATTAATTGGCACTATCTATACTAACAAGATGCATCTACTTTTCGGGATCCATAGTTAAGCGTGCTTGACTTGGAGTAATTCTGGGATAGGTAATCTCCTTCCTAGAAAGTGTGTGAGTAAGGACAAAGCACGCTGAAAAGTCTCGTATTAGTTTGTAGGGACAATCACTGATCCTTGCAAGTTTTCGAGCATTACAAGTGGTATCAAAGCAGGGTCTCTCTCTCAGTACGGTGTGGTTCGAAGACGAACCAGGCGGAAGCTGGTGGGCATATAACATTCCAAGGGCTAGCAAGGGCAGAGAGTGATCCCGATGCAAAAAGAGGCATGGACAATGAGTGGCTCATGCCAAATCTTGCAGCTGCGAGGGTACATGAACGAATCGAATTAACACTCGAAAGAGAGGGATTCCAGAGACTGTGCTGGTATGGGACGATACAGTTAGGGATAAGGAGGAGGACACTCTCAAGTATTTGTACTCCCTAAAGTACAAATAAATTGTCATGCAAAACTTATTTTTCAAAGGGGTATTTATGTTTACAACTTTTTTTTGTTTACAACTCTTACAACCTTAACTATATACTCCGAGGAGTACACTCTCAAGTATTTGTACTCCCTAAAATACATATTTGAGGTTGCAAGAGTTGTAAATAAAAAAAGTTATAAACATAACCTTCCCTTTTTCAAATTATTATAAACTGCGTAGTTCCCTACCTATACAGAATCCATGCTCGATAACCTTGTGACCACAACTAATGATCAAATAACTATCCGAATATGATAACGTGTAACATTTCGAATAGAATCTTATGGACAACATAATAGCTGAAAATTAGACTAATCAGGGATCACATCCCACTATTTAATCTTGTAACTGAAATACATAAAAGTCCAATCCACACACACACACCAAAATATGACTCTGCGCTATTACTGATATCGTCTCATATGATAACATACATATATATGCGTAATCAATTTTTCAAGACAATTCACTCGTTGATTTCTCTTAATTTTTAAGCAATGGCTAATAGTTCATCAAACCTTTATTTATAGGAAAAATATTACGATATAAATAGCAAAATTAATATGGCAATAAAGAAACATTCCTATGTGAGTCGAGTGTCTTGAAATTTTGTTTACGATCATTTATGATTGATTTATATATTTTTAGAGTGTAGTTTATGATTGATATTTATATTTTTGGACCATAGTTTATAATAATTTATGATTGATTTATATGTTTTTGGAATGTTGTTTACAATAAATTTGTGATTGAATTATATATTTTGGAGTGTTGTTTATAGGGTTCATTTTTTCTGCAATCAATGTAGATAAGTTATCTACATTGGACCCAAAACGACGTCGTTTTTGGGCGAAAATCAAGGTATTTTTATAATTATAATTTATTTTAGGTTACAATAATCTTTCTCATTATAATTTTTTAATTTTTCAACCCAAAACAACGTTATTTTGAGAGTGAATGTAGATAACTTATCTACATTAATCGTAGAAACATTAAAGCCTTGTTAATAATAATTTGGTGATTGAATTATATATTTTTGGAGTGTTGTTTATAATAATTTTGTGACTGATTTATATTATTATTATTATTTTTTTGGTATGTGATTTATATTATTATTTATTTTTATCTTTTTTTTGGGGTTTTACACTAAGAAATTCAGTTTTCCACTTCCTAACTATTTTAGCAAATGAAAAAAAAAATAGGAGTAAAATTTGGAAGTCAATTAAAAAAAGAATATAAATTATAAATATTTCTTGAGAAAAAAATGTCATCTTGATTTTAAAGAATTACATATGTAGAATATATTTAGGGTTTATCGTTTCTCAAGCTGCCAGAGATAATTTTATCTCCGGTTAACAAATCAGAACTGTACAAAGATGGATCAATGGTAATAAAGGAAGAGAGAGAAAAAAGAAATCATAACCATTCAAAGGTGAATTAATTAATATAAAAAATTAAATAAACAAAATGACGTAGTTTTAGGATGGCCGGAGATAAGCTTATCTCAAGTTGCCGGAGAAATGTTTTTTCCATATATTTATCATTCTAAAAAACTAATGTACCTGATGCGTAATAACTAATAGATAATATGTTTTGACATTTATGATTTTTGGAGACTAAGGTAATTATAGTATTAATAGAAATTAATGTGTTCACACTGAAATTTCTTAAATAAAAATTTGGAAATTTACTCAAAAAGAAACCACAATTGATATTAAGAAATCCGTCCTGTAAAATTTGACTTCTTTACAACTGTTATATGATATGAATATCAGTTGGAAAGAGCATTATTATTAAAATACAAAAGCTTACAAAATAAATAAATAAAAAAGCCCCATTGTTTTAATCTTTTATTTTCTTTTTAGCCTTAGTAAAGCATTATGTATTCTTGACACACTACAAAAACACAAGCGCATTATTATAAACTTGTGTTTTATTTCTCCACCTTTCTTTGCATTGCATCCCTCTAAGAAATTTATTTGCTGCACATCCAGATTATTATGAAAGGGCAAAACCAGAGTATATGCACGTTTTGGCCTTTGGGTGATGCAAGCCAAACAACATGTATTTGAAGTTCAAATACATGTGAAAGGCAGAGCTACTTGCGCGCCTCTGTCCACAAGTGCGGACATAAAACCCTTAATTTTTTTTTAAGCATAGTATTAAAGCATGATGTTGCTTGGATATATAATGAGGGGTGGAATGGAAATGAATGAAATACGGTGGGATGAAATGAAATGCCATATATTTTAGTGGATATTTTATGATGTCATACAACAAATCAGCTTGATTAAAAAAAAATGGTATTGGGAATAATTTTTTAAGTTAAGTTTAAGTTTTTTTTTCTTGTTTATATTTTTTGTTTTTTAATGCATCTAAAATTTTCTTTAAAAATTTTTTTGGGGGCAGAGGACATAAGTAATATTTTCTGGTCCAGCATTGACTTGAAATAAAATGAATCACCATTAACCACTTTCTCTATCTTGAACTTGACCAAGACAAGAAGAGCTTTTACTGATATTCGGTAACAGGAAAAGCAACCATCCCACAAATAAGGAGATTGTGTGTTAAGCGTCAATTCAACCTAAAACTTTAAAGTATTGGGTGAGGCTAAATTGATTATTTTATATCTCTAAGACTCTTACACACTCCATCATGTAAGAGTCATTTGGACTTGAAGCGTAGATATGACACAAGTCCATTGTTGGTTTGCTTTGTGTTGCGCAAACCCATTTTTTGTTGTTGTTTTTCTTAATTCCACCTGAAAGTGGGGGCAGTGAGGATCGAATCCGTGACCTCGTAGTCGTGGTCACTGAAGCTCTAATACCATGTTAAATACAAAACACAATAAACTCCTATTACATTAAATTCTAAATTCAAAATATACAAATCCTATCGGTTCGAAATTGTATTAAATCCTAAATCAAAACGTATACTCTAAATTAAATTCAAAATATCTGCTCTAAATTATATTAAATTCTAAATCAAAATGTAATACTCTAAAATTAAATTCTAAATTCTAAATTTAAAAATATGTAACAGCAACATAACCACCAATATTGTGATTTCGAATCTTTTATTTTCTTTATATTTTGTTTTTGTTCTATTCTTCTTGATTTATAATATAGAAGTTGGTTGGTAAACTCAAACAGTATCATCTAGTTCTGGTTAACTTTGTTTCACATCAGTTACAAATTTAGTTTGTGGGAGATATATTAATCACACATTGTTAAAAAAATATAAAATCATCAATATGACATTCACCTAATAGTTAAGTGTTTACATTCTTTAAATTGACCAAGTGATTATGAATTCAATTCTTATCACCACTTTTCAAAACTCTTGTGTGTGGGGATATATTAAAAAAATATATTTGTATTCAATTGGTTCTTTACTCATGTTGATTGACTTATAATTTAAGTCAAAACATAACTGGACTTGTTTGCTTGTTGGTGTTCAGATGGCTTCTTCCTCATCTTTTGGTGCTTCTCAACCAAAGCGTGATGTTTTTCTCAGCTTTAGAGGGGAAGATACTCGTTGCACTTTTACATGCCATCTCTATACTGCCTTGTGTCGACGTAAAATCGCTACTTTCATTGATGATGAGGAAATTGAGAGAGGGGATGAACTATCACCAACACTTTTTTCAGCAATAGAAAGCTCAAAGATTTCCATAACAATTTTCTCAGAGAATTATGCTTATTCTACATGGTGTTTGGATGAACTCGAGAGAATCATTGAATGCAAGGAGAAAAAAGGACTTGTTGTAATACCTGTTTTTTATCGCATCGATCCATCAGATGTAAGACACCAGAGGGGAACTTATGAAGTTGCATTTACAAAACATGAGAAAGATTTTAGTAACAATCTAATCAAGGTACAGAAGTGGAGAACTGCCCTGCGTGAAGCAGCCAACTCAGCAGGATGGGATTCCTCAAATATTAGGTGAATAATACACACACACTTGTAATTCACAGGTCCTCTAATGGTGTTTTTCTCACATACAAGATACACACACAATTCTCTGAATATACCTCTATTATATTACTGATTCTACCAAGCCACTTTACAAGAGTTACAATGAGATATTTATAAACAATAGCAAATGATTATGAATATTAATGACAAACTTAGGAAATCAAAGCATAATAATGACAACTTCTTAAAAACATTAAACTCATTAATATCCACTAACAAATTCCTAAGGGACACACCCCTTCACCACAAACTCTTCATTTTCTATTTTCATTTATTCTAAATAAAGTTTAAAACCCAACAAAACTCTCCCTTAAACTTTAATATCTCTACCGTCCTTCATTCTCATCTTCTTCTTGCAATTCTCAAACAACAATGTCGGCAGGGGCTTTGTGAAAATATCTCCAACTTGATCTCGGCTTGCAACATGAGTGAGCTCCACCTTTCCTTCTCTGACTTGATCTCGGATGAAATGAAACCTGACATCAATATGCTTACTTCTCTCATGGTTGACCGGGTTCTTTGCTAACTCGATCGCTGATCTGTTGTCAACTCGAATCTCGGTTGGGCCGACTTGCTCTTGCTCCAGCTTGCTTAGTAAATTCCTCAGCCATATTGCATGGCAAACACACCAAGATGCCGCAACATACTCGGCTTCACATGTAGACAGGGTCACAATGGGTTCCTTCTTCGACACCCAAGTAAACGTCGTGTTTCCCATGAAGAACACATATCCAGCCGTGCTCTTCCTATCATCAACATCTCCGCACCAATCACTGTCTGAATAACCCGTCAGTTTGTATTTGTCCGACTTCGAGTAATGAAGTCCTTGTGAGATTGTTCCCTTCACATATCTCATAATTCTCTTAGCCGCCTTCCAGTGAGTATAGCTCGGCTCTTCCATAAATCGGCTTATTATTCCAACACTCAGACATAGATCCGGTCTCGTACATGTCAAGTACCTCAGACTTCCAACTAGACTACGATAAACACTCAGATCTACCTTTTCTCCTCCATCATATCTTGAAAGTTTAACGCCGGGTTCCATGGGGGTTGAAACCGGGTTGCAATCACTCATTTTAAACTTCTCTAAAATTCCTTTTGCATAGGCTTCCTGAGAGACGAAGATCTCAGATTTGTCTTGTCTGACATCCAGACCAAGAAAGTATCTCATCAGACCGAGATCCGTCATCTCGAACTCCTTCGTCATTTTCTTCTTAATATCTTGAATTATCCCTTCATCATTACCCAAGAAAATCAGATCATCAACATATAGAGCAACAAGTAGAATTTTACCTCCTCTCTTCTTCACATATAGTGCATATTCATACGGACATTGTTCAAGTCCATCCTTCTTGAAGTAATTGTCAATTCTTGTGTTCCAGGCTCTTGGGGCCTGCTTCAATCCATACAAAGCTTTCTTCAGTCTCAACACTTTTCTTTCTTGTCCGGCTTTCATGAATCTCGGAGGTTGTTCCAGATACACCTCCTCTTCGAGTACTCCATTTAAGAATGCCGACTTCACATCCATCTGATAGATCGGCCATCCGAATTGGGCTGCTTGAGAGATCAACAGCCTGATTGTCTCCATTCTTGCTACGGGTGCGAACACCTCGTCATAGTCAATGCCGACCTTCTGCCTATACCCTTTCGCCACTAGTCAGGCTTTGTATCTTTCGATCTCCCCCTTAGCGTTCATTTTCTTCTTGTACACCCATTTCACCCCAATGGGCCGACTTCCTTTAGGCAGCTCGGCTAACTCTCATGTCTTGTTCTTTTCTATTGCTTTAATCTCCTCCTCCATGGCTGATTGCCATTTCTCATCTCGGATTGCTTCTTCAAAACTCACTTCTTCAGAATCTGCCAACAAACATACCAAGTGTGCTTCGTTAGTTGAGTCATACAAGTCTTGCAGGCTCCTCATTCTCAGTTGTCTCTGCTCTTCATCATCAGAGATTTCATGATTAGCTGGGATATGGGACGAAGGTTGTCCAACCTCAATTGTCATTTTCCCGGGTTCAACATTCACCCCCAGATGGACAACCCCAGTCCCAAGCATCTTCGTCATTCACCTTCACATCTCGGCTTATCAACACCTTTTTATTGACGGGATCCAACAACTTGTACCCCTTTGTCTTCTCATCATAACCAATGAATACAAATTTCTTACTCTTATCTTCAAGTTTCGTTCTCAACTGATCTGGTATGTGTGCATATGCAATACTACCAAAAATCTTGAAATGAGCCATTGATGGCTTTAGACCGCTCCATGCTTCTTGTGGAGTTTTATCATTCACATTTGAGTGCGGACATCGGTTCTGCACATACACTGCACGTTGTACGGCCTCTCCCCAAAACTCTTTCGGCATGTTCTTCGTCTTCAACATAGATCGGACCATATCCAGGATAGTCCGGTTCTTCCTCTCAGCTACTCCATTTTGCTGGGGCGAGTATGGTGCGGTCAGGAACCGCCTTATCCTATGTTCTTCACAATACTTCTTGAAAGCTGTTGACACGTACTCCCCACCTCGGTCTGAACGGACCGATTTGATGTACCTCCCAGTACCATTCTCTATCATTACTTTAAAACTCCTAAATGCCTCTAGCACCTCAGATTTTTCCTTCAAAAAATACACCCAAGTCTTTCGACTGAAATCATCAATAAAAGTTACAAAATACTTCTTACCACTGAAGGACCCCGGAGTAATGGGTCCACACAGATCGGTATGTATCAAATCCAGAGGCTGCCTAGCTCGGTATCTCGCCATCCTTTGGAACGGGCTCCTCGCATGTTTTCCCAATACGCAGTCCTCACCAAATTTTCCTTCAGAGTTAATCTTTGGTAGTCCCACTACCATGTTTTTCTTCATCATCTCAGTCAGACCACCGTAATGAAGGTGTCCAAACCGTCGATGCCACAAATCCATCTTATCTTCTACCTCGGCTTGCAGACAGCCGACCTCCATGCTCCTCAAACTCAACTTGTACATTATGTTTTTATCCATCTGAACTCGGGCTATCAGACGCCCTTGTTTGTCTTTCAATAGTAGAACTCGGTCTGTCATTAGAACCGAGTAGCCCTTTTCCATCAACTGTCCAATGCACAAAATATTGCATTTGAGCTCAGGCACGTAATACACGTCCCGAATTGTACCAACTCGTCCATCCTTTTGCAAGAAACAGATCGTACCTCGGCCTTTTACATCAATTTTGGACGCGTCTCCAAAAGAGACATGTCCGGCTTCCACCGTTTTCAACTCCTTGAACAGATGTTTGTAACCACACATGTGATTACTGGCACCAGTATCTAAGTACCACTCTGTCTCACTCTTCGAACTCGTTTCACCATGTTCCAACATCAAAACTCCTTCATCTCTTATCTCTCCTTCTGCAGCAAAGTTTGACGTCCCGTCAACTCTCCTTTCATCTCGGCAATCCTTCGCGAAATGCCCAACTCGGCCACAGTTGTAGCACCTGTCCGAGTTGTAATCTCTTGCGTAGTGACCATACTTCCCACACTTATGACATTCTACATTATTTTGATTCGACCACCGGCCTCTTCCACCTCGGCCACGTCCTCTACCTCTCCAGTTTTGCTGACTCGGCTCAGTTCTTTCTTCATTTCTCACCTCATGACCTCGGCCACGACCACCTCGGCAATTTCCACGTCCAGCTTGGCCACGACCTCTACCTCGGACGTTCTGAGAATACAACGCCTTCTCTTCCTTGATATTTGCTTTTGACTGGAGTGCTTGCTCCAGTGTCTCTTCCTTCTTCTTTTTCTTGCGTTGTTCATGCGCCTCAAGAGAACCCGCTAGCTCTTCAACAGAGAGCGTAGCCAAGTCCTTAGACTCCTCAATTGCACATACCACGTTTTCGAAGTCGTCTGTCAGCGACCTCAGAATCTTTTCAACAACTCTAGTCTCAGATAATTCCTCACCATTCTGCTTTAACTGATTCACCACGGCTTGAACTCGGCTGATGAACTCGGATACACCCTCTGAATCTTTCATCTTCATTCCTTCCAACTCGCCACGTAGAGTCTGAAGTCGGACCTGCTTAACTCGGTCAGCTCCTTTATAGACATTCTCCAAGATGTCCCACGCTTCCTTTGACGTTGTTGCACTTGCTATCTTCTCAAATCCGGACTCATCTACAGCTCGGAATAACATGTATAAGGCCGCCTTGTCCTTCGCACGCGTCTCTTTCAACACCTTGGTTTGAGCTGCTGAGTATCCTGCGGTAGTTGCAGGTTCAGCAAACCCGTCATGAATAACATCCCAAGTATCTTGGGATCCGAGCAACGCCTTCATCTGAATGCTCCAATTCACATAATTTGCTTTTGTCAGGCGGGGCAATGGTATACTGGAAGTGGTCACACTCTCCATAGCTCTGATACCAATTTGTAATTCACAGGTCCTCTAATGGTGTTTTTCTCACACACAAGATACACACACAATTCTCTGAATATACCTCTATTATATTACTGATTCTACCAAGCCACTTTACAAGAGTTACAATGAGCTATTTATAAACAATAGCAAATGATTATGAATACTATTGACCAACTTAGGAAATCAAAGCATAATAATGACAACTTCTTAAAAACATTAAACTCATTAATCTCCACTAACAAATTCGTAAGGGACACACCCCTTCACCACAAACTCTTCATTTTCTATTTTCATTTATTCTAAATAAAGTTTAAAACCCAACAAGGCTAATCAAGTCTTCATTTTTTATATATTAATTAAAATTTTCAAGAAGTCCACGTAGTGTGGAATTTGTGCAGGGGGTATTATCACCAGAGGCTTGCAGTATAAGTTTATTTTGACACTTCATAGATGCTCTGTTATCATGTTTATATCAGAATTATATATGTTGTGAACTATTTTTTTAAAAGATTACCATTAAAATAAGGGGAAAAAAGTATCTAATGGTACTTTAGATAACTTTGTTTAATGTTCATCGAAACGACGTCGTTTTGGGGTTGAAAAATTTAAAAATTAGAATGATAAAGACTATTATAACCCTGAAATAAATTAAAATTACAAAAACACCATGATTTCTGCCCTCGTCGTTTTGATGAACATCAGATAAAGTTATCTAAAGTAACTTTGGAAAAAGCAAACCCTTGAAATAAAATAAAAAATTGTTTTCAAAGCAATACAGATACAGAAAGGCTAAATACGGAAATATGTAGCACTGAGTTAAAATATCATGATACATTATACAAAAAATAAAAAAATTCATGATACAAATTACAAAGAAAATAAGGTTTAGCTGTTTGTCAACTGTCTATTAATTTGACAATTCTCTCTGTTTCATCTAGGTTGGAGTCTGAACTGGTTGAAATGGTTGTTGGAGATGTATTACAAAAATTGAATCGTATGAGCTCACATGTTCCAAATGGGCTCGTTGGAGTTACTGCACATGTTGCACATGTGGAATTATTGTTATGCAAAGGGTCCTCTGGCGTACGAATTATTGGAATTTGGGGCATGGGTGGTATAGGTAAGACAACCGTTGCAGAAGCTCTATATGCAAAACTCTCTTCTCAATATGAGGGATGCTACTTTGTTGCCGACGTGAGAGAAGAATGGAAAAATCATAGAGAAAATGATTTACGGAGTAAACTTCTGAGGGGGGTGTTAGGGGACCCAAATTTGTGTATTACCACTCCTAGTATGACGTCCACTTTCGTTATAGAAAGGCTCCAACGTAAAAAGCTCCTCATCATTCTTGATGACGTGAGTGATTCAAAACAAATAAAATATCTTGTTGGAGAGAAAGATTGGTTTGGACCTGGTAGTAGAATCATAGTGACGACTAGAAACAAAGATGTGTTTAACCGAGGAGTTGATGGAGTATACCACATGATGGAGTTGAATTTTCATGAAGCGTTAAAGCTTTTTAGCCTGAATGCCTTTCAACAAGACCATCCAACGTTGGAATATACACACTTGTCAGAACGGGTTGTAAATTATGCTAAGGGCATTCCGTTAGCTCTAAAAGTTCTGGGTTCATCACTTCATTCCAAACAACCAAGAGAATGGGAAAATGTGTTGGATAAACTCAAGAAAATCCCCCTAGCAGAAATTTATGATGTGCTACGATTGAGTTATGAAGGGTTAGACCCCGAAGAGCAGAATATATTTTTAGATATTGCATGTTGTTTCAAAGGAGAGACAAGAGGCCATATAACAAGTCTATTAGATGGCTGTGGCTTTTCTACAGATGTTGGGATTAGATGCCTTCAAGATAAATCTCTTATAAATGTTTCTAAGGACAACAAGGTACTGATGCATGATTTGATACAAGAAATGGGTTGGCAAATCGTCCGTGAAAAATTTATGAATGAGCCTGGAAAACGAAGTCGATTGTGGGATCCTAAAGAAATTTTTGATGTCCTCAATTATAACATGGTAGGGATCAAATTGCCTTGGTTCACATTTCTATTTCTAACTATGTGGAACACCTTAGTACAATGATCTGCCCATTATAATGTTATTACGTTCTGAATTTGTTTGTTACTTTTTGTTTGCCAGGGTACTGACTCTATTGAAAGCATAGTGTTGGACATGTCTCAAATCAAAGATGTGACAATAAACCCTAAAACTTTTCTCGGAATGTACAAGCTAAGGCTTCTGAAGTTTTATATGCCCCCTTGGGATAAGAGAAGCAAAGTGTATATTTCCAGAGGTCTTGAATGTATGCCTGATAAAATAACTTATCTCCGATGGGACTATTTTCCATTGAAATCCTTGCCACCATCGTTTTGTGCAGAGAAGCTTGTTGAACTTGATCTAAGACATAGCCTCATTGAAAAACTTTGGGACGGAAAGCAGGTATTTATCGAAACTTTTTTGATTTTTTTTTTTTTTTTTATAGCCGAAACTTTTTGACTTAATATATATATATATGAATGATTAAAAATCCACAACTTGTCAAATAAGTTTAGCTTTCTTATTCCTCAGGATCTTTCGAATTTGAAGTCATTATACCTTAGTGATTGCAAGCATCTGATTGAGCTCCCAGATTTATCTCTGTCTTCAAAACTTGAAGAAGTACATCTCGATGGTTGTTCAAGTTTGATGAAAGTTCCTTCATCCATTTTGTCACTTGATAGTCTGTTTCAACTAAATCTGAGAGGCTGTAAACAACTTCGCTACATTCAAAGTGAGAAGCAATCTAGATCTCTTCAATGGCTTAATCTCAGTGGGTGCTCGAGACTTGAAAAATTTTCAGTGTCTTCAGAGAAATTGAAATACCTGATCTTAAATGCAACAGCAATTAAAAATTTACCTCCAACATTTGACACGTCATTGTCAATCACAAAACTCTTCCTGGATAATTGTTCAAAGTTATCAAAACTCCCTGGCAACCTTGGCCTCTTATCAACATTAAATAAACTTTCATTGAGAGGAAGCAACATTGAGAACTTGCCTGATAGCATAAAAAATCTTTCTCAGTTGAGAGCTCTCAATGTAAGCAATTGCAGGAGGCTTCGTTCCTTGCCAGAGCTTCCATTCTTTTTACAGGACTTGAATGCAAGTAATTGTGTTTCCCTAGAAACAGTATCAAATTTAGGGATCACACTGGTGCAAGATTCTTTTGATAGGCTGAAGAAGAGATCGTTGCTCAGACAGATTCAAGAAGAAGAAAAAATGTCTATTCGTCATCGTAAATATTTGGGGAGGTTCGAGTTTTACAATTGCATAAAGTTGGACCAGATTGCACGCAAGACTGTTATGGAAGAGGCACTAATTAGAATTAAGCTCGCAGCCTACCTGTCATCAAAGATTGAAAAAATTTGTGATCCTTATTTTCAAACTGATGACCCTGAAGATTTTATATATGTTTCCCTTCCGGTTTATATTATTCTACCGGGAAGTGAAGTGCCAAACTGGTTCATACATAAAATAACAGACTCCTCAACTGTAAAACTTTTTGCACGGTGGTATCATTGTTGCAGTGACATGGGCTTTGCTTTCTACCTTGTTCTAGGACCAATGCACTCAAACGGGGAGAAAAATCATCATATTCGGTTTGAAGCAGGGTGTAGATACTATTTTGACGACAAATATGTTGGAACTTGCATGATAAATTCTTCTTGCAATAACGCTGAATCGGATCAGGTATGGCTTTGGTATGACAAATTAAAAGTTGTAGAGGGAACAAGCGATGAAAATCCTCAGCAGGTCTCCTTTGAATTTTTTGTTCTGCCTCAAAGTTCAGGACTTGTCGTGAAACAGTGTGGAGTTCGACCATTGTATGCTGCAGATGTCATCATGCGAAGCTCAAATGAACAAGAAGGTAACAGAGAAGATAAGAGACCTTACATTGAGTCTGAAACCTCTGGAATTGAAAGTAAGTATCAGTTTTCACGGCAGTATGATCTTCCTCTATCAGGATCAGAGAGACAGAGAATTCCTGGGTATCGCAGTGGACAAAGTGGGATATCCTTTTCATCAGTTTATCCTGCCAATGTTTCTCAACTTATAATGAAACACGACCGTTTTCGTTATGGAGATGTAGTCTGTGTTGGTTTTAACATTTATGATGACCACCACCATCGTGCTGCTCTACGGTGTTTAGCACAAATGCTTCTGGATGACTATTGTTATTTAGGTAAACTCACAGACAATATCAACATCTTATCATCGATTGTATGTTTGTCAATATATCGTTGCAATGTTGAGAGCTTGCCTGCAAGCATCGAGCATCTTTCATGGCTGAAACATATTTCACTACGTGAGTGCAAGAGGCTTAGGTCTCTACCAAAGCTTCCATTATCACTTCAATTTTTGGTTGCCGATAATTGCCCATCTCTGGAGACAGTTGAGTTTGCTCAGGCGAAAAAGCTGACTTTTTTTGGAAATTCATACGAAGTGAAGAAAATTTCTGGAAATTTGATATATGAAAAAGTATCAAAGATTGAACTTATTGACCCAGAAACAAGAGTTACCAATTGGACACTGTTAACGTCATCATATGATTCCATATTTGTTGGATTCAATGTTGCTTCACATATTGAGCTATGGAATGTCACATGTCTATCTGGCACAATAAAAATTACCACCAAGTGATAAAATAGTTAACGAAATCAGAAACAATAATGTGGCAGTTTCATTTGAATTCGGACTATCCAAATCCAATTGCTTGACCAAGGAACGAAGAGCATCAAGGAACAACCTTTCTCTTACTGCTTGATAGGTACCAAACACTTCTCCCTCTATCTCTCCAAAAAAAAAATTATATCCCTTAATTATGATGCTTCCTATTACATAAGAAATTAGTCCTTCAACTAAAATAATAATTTCACATAATAATAGCTATCTACATTAGAATCTTTTCACATTCATAAGAGAACCATATCCTTATAATTTGTTGCCAATATTGATTGCTACCCTCAGGTAAATTGGTTATCATGTGAACAATTTCGGCTTCAAGACTGGGAGACTGAAAATGCTACTCTTTTGCATGCTGGGCGATTATTACACCAATTCAGTGCTGATGGATATACCTTGATTGAATCACCAACATTTGCTATGTACGGGGTACAGGCTGATGCAGTGCTTCTAGCTTTACAGGCTGTGCATCCTTATACCTTTCACATGCATCAAATATTAAGATTTGTCATTTCAGCCGAAGCCTGAAACTCTGACATGCAATGGAAGATCTCTGAAGTCAGGCAAGATTTTCAGACAAGTCAGAGCTGGTATTCATTTATTTCTAATTTACTAGTTATCTTAACCCTGAATTTTATGGATTGTTTAAATCAAATAGGGGAAAATATTTGTATAATAACCCACACTTATGAATTAACCATGGAGTTAAGCATACATTTCAAGAGAATTATATGATAGTTATGAATGAGAATCCAATTTATATTAAACAAGTCATTTAGGATCAAAATATAATTATGAGAAAGTATAGGGGCAAAGTGCAATTATGATAAAATTTAGGGATCAAATTACAATTATGCAAAAGTCGGCCTAAACTCCATTATAATGTCATAATTGTTGTAAAATTAATAAGAACTAGAAGAGAAGAGATAAGAGAGATAGGGGAAAGTATTCTTACTAGGAAAATCCAATGGGACAAAACCATGGTGAAGGAAAAAAGAGTGCAACACGTATTTCACTCCCCCTGATGATAACTTTATTTACTATCTCTGAGTTTACGCATCCCGATCTTGTAAACGAGCTTCTCAAAACTTGAAGTAGATAACGCCTTGGTAAATAAATCTTGATCAAACATATTCTTGACTTTCTTCATGAATTGCTATTTATCCCATAGTCGTGCTTTCATTTGTGAATAAATATCCTGTTTGGAATATAGCTTTGTGTGGATCCTGCATTATTCTAGTATCTGTATATCAAAAAGAAATAATTCCTACTAACAAATTTACAAATAAAGATAAAATGTGAGAATAAGGGGGAACATATGAGGTTTAAAAGCCTTTATTGCTTTAATCCATTAATTATATTTGAAGCTTCATTCGACGAATTTCCCGAAAATTTTTATATGCTTCAACAATTTAGATCCTTATAGGATTTTCATATTTTACTGTCGATTGAATAAGCCACAAAAATGGGCTATAATAACATCTATTAGACGCACACCAATTTTTCATATACTGATTAATAAGATATCTGAAGGTGATTGCATCCACCACAAGAGAATATATTTTATAATAAATGCCAGCCTTTAGTGAAAATCATTGTACTACAAGTCGTGTTTTATATCTCACCACTTTATTCTCTCATTATAATTTGTGCACATTTGTACCTCACTGGCTTTACACCTTCATATGTTTGGATTATAGATCCAAAAACCTTTGAAATTGAATTGCGTCTTTATGATTTGGCCACTCATTATCAACAAATTTATCTTTAAGATCCTCGTCTTATTTCATCATTTCATTTTATGCAAAAATATTGTCGACAACTATATCTTTACGGTTCCAACTTTTTCTTATAATGACATAACTAATAGAGATCTCTTCATTTTCATTATTTTCAGGTACCTGAACCTCCCTTGAGGTTTGATCAAAGTTATGTCTTAATGTCTCCATATTATGACCATCTTAATCATTTGCTCCTCCTCCCTTTGAGGATTTTTATCCTTGGAACCGATCATTTTTCTATGTACAATACGAATTGGAGCATTTACAGTTGGAATATTAGACTTATTGGTCAGTGAAATCATTTGGCAGTCGATATATAATATCTTTTCTCATATTTACTTTGTGCGAGGATCTATATAAGATAATAATAAATTTTCCAACTGTTTATTCTCTCCCCCTCATGTTGGAAAGACTTGTAATAATAATCCACTAAATCTCCAGTCATTGTTTCAAGATATTATATAAGGAAATTCATATCCAACATATATTCTCAACTATATTTGGGATTCATCTTTGTGCGTTGTGGTGGAGTAATTAAAATATAAATTGCACATCAAAAATATTATTTGGCTCCTGACCATAAGCCAATGATGTAATGAGGAGATTATAACTTATTGGCATGATGCATACAAGTACTGCAGTATAAAATATAATATATACCCATGCAAAATAGGGAGCTTTGTTCTCATAAACAATGTTCTAGTAATCAATTGGAGACATTTAATATAAATTCACCAGCATTATAAAAATTAATTGTCTTTATTATGCTCTTAATATTATTATTTGAGCAAACATCCTCACAAATATCAAGATGTGAGTTAATAATGGATATACATGTGGCCATTTTGTAGATACATCTATTAAATTCATAATATTTGAAAGGTCCACATGATGGGTGAATGGGCCCATATATTTCACCCTATATGCATTTTAAAAATGCAAGAGATTGAATCTCAACTTATAATTGGTGATAATTTCTCTTGAGAACTAGCAGCACAAGAAAATTCAATAAATTTTTAATAAATCGAAGAATCTTCTGGTTCTTCAATGCATGATCATATGAATTTTCAATAATATTTTGCATCATATTTGATTCGGGATGGTCCATCTGGTCATGCCAAATAATATAGTTATTATAATCAATATCATTTTGATTTACCAAGACATGTTTTTCAATCATGCTAATATATATATTGGAAGCAAAACAGGTAATTTTTTTTTCTTTTATACACATTTCTTACCTGCAATATTTGTAGTAATAATAGTATATCAATATGTGTGATCACATATGGAGGCATGAAAATCATTTTGTATATAGGTAATTGATAAAATAATTCGGATTTTTGCTACTTCAGGAGCAATAACGAATAAAGATATCGTTAGCCTCAACAGTGGGATTAATCTCAGATCATAACACTTGCCCTTTATTTAATTTTCCATATTTCATTAGCCACTTTCGTTTGGCTTCTTTCGTGATTTGACCCAATGTTAGATTTTCTATCATCTATTTAGGGATTATATCATTAATGTGCTCATAGCCCTCAAAATAGCTAGAGTCTTTCATATGTTTGACATTTGCTTCAGGCAATGCTTTCATATGTTTGGGATTAATCTCATATCATAACACTTGCCCTTTATTTAATTTGCCATATTTCATTAGCATATTTCGTGATTTGACCCAATGTTAGATTTTCTATCATCTCTTTAGGGATTATATCATTAATGTGCTTATAGCCTTCAAAATAGCTAGAGTCTTTCATATGTTTGGCATTTGCTTCAGGCAATGCTTTTGAACAACGGGTCTAAAATTATAATTATTATCAGTCATTTAGATATAGAGAGAAAAAACTATAATAATTATATATTGAATGATTATTCATAATGATTCAAGTTAGAGATAATTTAATGAATTGCATAACTGATTAAATTGCAAATAAAAAAAAATCATTTATGCGCTACATATAACGAAAATAAAATAGCATACACTAATGATTGTAGTGTACACATGAAAAAGTCTAACAAACAGTATATTGAATAAAAATAATAATAAACAAACGGTGACGGCAAAACTTCCGTGGACTAATTCAAATTTTCCAAAAAAAATGAAACATACTAATGGGCACGTTTCACGAACGGTAACAAACATACTTATTCAAAACTTCCGTTTAACATTGCAATATAATAGGCACGTTTCACGAAACATACCAAAACATAATATATCATTTGAAATAACATGCTAATAGTCATACACGTCTCACAAAAAAAATAACTTTCAGAAAGATAATGGTAAAACAGTAATACAACTTCCGAAATAAAGTGCTAAAAAGAGACTGAATTGCCAGTACGGAGCACACGAGTTAATGTGTAATTTGTAAAGCATCCAGGTGCAATTATACTATATAGCATGTTTTGGTGAACATCTTTGACATGCTGAACATAGTAGTTGTAAAATCCGGCCTGATCGGGTCGGGTTGACTCGAAATCGGTGAATTGGTTATCGGATTGATTCGGATTAAGCATTAGACCGATTACGCATTGATCCAATCAAATTCGGTCAAAATCTGGATAAAACTGGCCAAATCCGGTGACCCGGTCAAGTCATGTATTTAAAAATAAAAAACAAAAAAAAAAATCAAAATTGTTTCATCTTGTCAAAAAAAATGTAGAACTCATTTTAAAATTTTTTGTAATTTTATTTGCTAGTATATTCTTTTACAATGACCTCAAATTTTAGCTTCTAATACTGAAGCAATTTGCGGAATAATAAATTAAGAGAATGTGATATATGTCATTTTAATGTAGTTGAATTTGAAAAATATGAATTCAATGTCATCGAGAGGTATGTTTATGGAGATTCTGAGTTGCAATTTAAATTGACATAGTAATAGCATTCATTTTTATTTATTTATGCTTCTTGTTTTTGAGTTTATTTAATGAACATTGCTTAATTTATTTTAACTATGGAAAATATAATTGAATTTATATGTTCATATTTTTATATATTTATATATATCCGGGTCAACCGGTCCGACCAGTGACCCAGTACTCTGACCGAGTCAATGCCGGGTCAGGTTTAATAACACTTTATAGTGGAATATAAAGCTGACTAACATCAATAATCAGCATCTTTCATGCATATTGCTTAAGTTTTGCTTTAAATTATTACATATTTACAGAAGTTAATATTTTATTTTCTTTTAATGAATTAAATTATGCACACCTCTCTCACCTAATGTAAGACATTCATTATCGTACATGATTTTAAGCACCTAACTCACCGTAGTCTCAGTAAAGCAAACTGATAGGGTAAAACTCAATAATAAACATTTCAACTAGCATGTAAACCCTGACCAACCATATAATGTTTAAAAGGACCCAGCATCATCAAACCATTAGAACACTCAATTAAGAACACCAGTCAAATACGAAGAAACTTATATATACAAATCAAAGCCTGAAAACTAGGTAGATATTCAAGAACCCAAGATATTTTAAGTAGCATGCTCCCTACATACAAGACCTTCATAAAATTAACCACACATTTGGACACTGTAACAATCAATAAAAACAAGAGATGCAAACAAACTTCCTTAATCTTGATGTAAATAATTTTTCCAATTAAGGAAATATGTTAGATGCAAGACTACTGGGGTTAATAAGGGTAATAATCAAAGCAATAAATTGAAATTTCCACACCTGATTATGCGCGGGTTGCTCACCAACTCTTTTTAACTTGTGGTTGAATATCGCAAATGATGAAGATGTCATTGTGTAGTGGGTTGGTATTCCAAGTTTCCATCTATGCTTCCTGACGACGCCTTTCTTTTTCTTTCTTTTGGATGGTGCTCCAACAAGAAGCGATGGAGGTGATTGACGGACATGGAGGAGGAACCAGCAGAGCGTCGGCGGTGATGAAATCTGGGTCTGAATGTCATTCCCCATGAGTGCCTTTGGCACATTAGAGTCCCAATTGACCCTATGGTTGATTCCGCCATTAGAGCCATGCTCCAACACACAAGCTACACGAAAAGGACACCACCCAATCTGGGTTCCTACATGTGTGTCCTACCCCTCAAAATGTTTGATCGTAAAAGTTAAAAATTTCACCAACTCAAAATAGATTTTGCAAAAGTTTGAAGGTATCAGTGTTGTGTTTGAGGAGGGATATTCTCGCTATCAAAATTTTTCACTACCAACTTACCACCTATCTGATCACCGTTAGATTAACATTTTCTCTCTCTTCAAATTTGTTTTAACATTCTCTCTTTGATCCAATGATGATGTGATTGGTAGTAAGTTAGTAATAAGAATTTTTGGTAGTTAGAATATCCTTTACTCATCAGTGTTACCAAAATAAGAATATAGTTTGATAATATGAAGAAAAATAAATTCAGCTATCTGTAGGATGTCTAAAGTTTGAAGTATTCACAATGAAGCCAAATATTATGGGGTGTAAAAGAAAAACTGAGTTTTCAAGCGTTTAAGAAGAAAAAAAAATCAGAATAACAAAAACAAAAAATTATAGTATTGTGCAGTGGTCTCTTAGATTGGAAAGACAATGGTGCTCATAACTTGTTGTAAAATTAATAAGGACTAGAAAAGATAAGAGAGATAGGAAAAAGTATTCTTATTAACTTGTGTCATACTACAATAATGTCTTATTTATAGGCTCGAGAAACATAAAAGTTATAATAACTGACATTATTCTTCAACGATCATAATATCTCCAACAGCCATAACGTCTCCAACAGTCATAACGGATATGGACAATCAACAAATTATTTATAACTGTAATATGATTATTTGGAAAATTTAATAATATGAAAATGATGTCATAAAGGTTAAATTATGTTTAGAAATTAAGGTTTTAAAAAAAATAAAACCTAGGGACTAATTAGCAAAATTTTGAAACTTGTTGGTTAAAGTCAACTTTTAGGACTTTAAAAGTGACTTAGGAGTTGGCAAAAATTTCGGCTCTATTTGATTTCTGTTTTGCAAAACAGTTTTTTAGTTTTCAGAACAAAAAAACTAAAAAACTCGTTTGGTAAGACTTGTTTTGTAAAAAATATTTTGAAAACTATAACTGTTTTTTTGTTTTTAAAATCAAATTTAGAGAACATGTCTGCGATATTTTTGTTTTCTGTTTTGGTTTTTAACTTTCAAAAAAAAATTATAGAAAACAACTATTTCTATAACCATTTTACAAAATAATTTTAAAAACAAAAAAAATCAGAACACAGTCAAATACGCCCTTCATTTTCACTTCTCCTCTTCCCTCCCAAGCGCTGCCAAACCCGAACCCCCCATTGAAGGAAGGCCAAGCTTTTCTCTTCATTTTCTACCCAACTAAACACTTGTCATGAAAGTTTGCGCTTAGTGTCTTAGGAGTGAAACCATAGTCTCCATTCTCCTTAGGAAGCTTTGGTTCATGAGTTTTCTCCATTTTCCTAACTCGGCTATTGTTCATCAAGGAGCAAAAATGATGTTGTTTTGATTGATTTGAAGCTTGAAGATTATCATTTGGTGGTGTAAAACTTATCTAAGGTAAAAAAACTACAAATTAAACGATTGAATCCTTGGATTTGAACTTAGGTTTTCATGAATACTTTGTTGGAATTTTGATGTTGGAAAATCATGAATGGTTGTATGTTTTGATGAAGGGATATGTCCATTCATATTTGTGGAGTTGATTGAACCATATAGAAGTCAAGAAAGCATATAAATTGTATAAACCTACCATGTCCATTTCGGCTATAATGTAAAGATCCATGTTGGAATTGTGTTTTAGGTTGTCTTGATGATGGTTAATATGCCCTAGGTAGTGTAGTGTATAATGGATTAAATGGTTGGTTATGGAAAGCATGAACATGTAGTGAATGACTTAAGTCCCCATTTCGGTCATATGATGGAAAATGCATGTGGAAAGTTTATTAATTTTGTTTTGATGATGGTTAATATGTATGGAGTGATGGAATGTCAAACGGAGGTAATTATTGACATTGAAAGCAAGAAAATTCCACAAACTCCGTATATGTCTATTTCGGCCATCCTAGGGAAAATCATGTGAGAATGTGTTTGAATATTGTTTAAATGATAGTAATGACTTAGCTATGTTGATGTGAGTAGACTAATTGGTTAGCCATTTGAACCATGTAAACATTTGGGGAACCCTTAGATTACCATTCAGCCATGTCTTAAAATATAAGTGAATATAATGACCTTAACTTGTAAATTATGGAATTACAAAGTGATTAAGGGTTTAATCATAATTAATGAGAATTAATTAGATTAGACTAATCTAATTAAATGAATTAAAATACTTTTGGGGAAAAAGTATGAATAGTGAAAGTTTTGGAATAAAATTACCTGGAACTTCAAAATAAATTAGGGAATATGACTACAAAAATATTGGCTCTTTGACCAGTTGGGGACTTTTCCCTTTTAAATTTACCAATTTGGTATCTGGATGAGAGAAATTACCGGTTGGGGTCTTTAAGTGCCGCAGGGGGGACCCAGCGACTCTAAATGACGCCCACAGTCCCCTGCGGCACTCATATTTTTTTTTCCGGACACAATGTCGCCCCCACCCCCCATCGGCACTAAATTTTTTAGTTTTTTTTTGGTTACTTAAGTGACGCCCAACCCCCCCCCCCAACGGCACTCATGAGCATGCGGTCATTTATTCATAGTTCAGTTCTGCTTTACAACCATGGAATCCTTTGACACTCATCATTATCACTGATAATGGGTTATCATCAAGAACCCCAGAAAACCATGGGGTGAACTCTATACAAGAGGATAATTTTCCATCTGAGGGTGGTGGAGCAGTCGCTAGGGACAATATCACCTGTTTAAGTCAGGGTGATTTCATTAAAGATGAAAGGAATAAGCATGTAGAGAGCCTATCAATTTTCTAGATTTGATTGGTCTCTTGGAGATTGGAGCTTCAATGTGATACGTTCCAATCACAAATTGAGTAAAGTTCATGTGACAAATCTGAAGCAAAATGCTTAGCATGCTGAAGAATGGTTCATTTCTTTTTATGTATATATATAGCAGAGAATTTTTCCCCACTCATTAGGTCTTTGTCTTCTCCTTTGTTCTTTTTTTGATCTTCAACACTTGCTATGCTAGTATTTTAGATCTCTCTCTCTCTTCCTGGTTGTAATTAGTTGAAGAATAGCCGGAGCTGCAGTGTTCCTTTGCCCTTGCACAGACCACTGTGTTATTGCAGTTCATGCACTGCTGATATGACCGCATGCTCATGAAATTAAAACATGCTTAATTTTAAATGAGTGCCATTGGGGGGTTGGGCGTCACTTTCATAACCAAAAAAAAATAAAAAGAATTAGTGCCGATGGGGGGTGGGGGCGGCACTATGATCGAAAAAAAAACACATCACATGAGTGCCGCAGGGGACTGTGGGCGTCATTTAGAGTCGCTGGGTCCCCCTGCGGCACTTAAAGACCCTAACTGGTAATTTCTCCCATCCAGATACCAAATTCGAAAATATAAACGAAAAAAGTCCCAAAATGGTCAAAGAGCCAAAAATATTATAAGCCAATAGGACAAGTTTGAAAGAGAGATAAGTGAGCGGGTTAGATAAGTCTTTACCCACATGGATGTTTGAACTCACATTATATGATTTAAACACACTCTCTCCCCCTCATTCTCTCTTCCCTCTTGCGGATTGCTCCATTTCCAAGCCGAAGGAGTGCTTCTTCTCCCCTTCTCCATTGAGCTTCATCCTAGCTTCAAGAAACAAGAGAAAACACTTGTCATTCTTCATCTCCCATCACTCCACCATAGAAACTAGTTCGAGTTAAGAGATTGAAAGAGAAAAACCCACTATTTAGGGGCTACAAAATTCGGTTGGAGCTTGAGGGAGAAGTTTTCTTGGATAAAGACTTGGGTTGTTCTTGCAATCTTGTTGGTTGAAGCCCCAAGGTAAATGCCACAACTTCCCTTTGGTATTTCATGACAAATGGCATGATTTAGGTTATGGAATATTAGGGATTTCATAATTTATGAGTTGGAGTATGAACCCGTGTGTAGAAATGCATGCTAGGGTGTTGAGAGAGTGGTAATTGGTTGTATTTTGATGTAAAATGGACTCCATTTCGTGTTGGTTACTAATTCTGCATACTAAGGCAAAATATCAATATCCGGATATCGATATCTGGATATTGTCCTATTTTCGAGAAAAGTGATATTTTCCCATACAAGATCGTCCCAATACTGTTAAGAGGGCTTAATGGGATTAATTTGAGGTAACCTACTATGAATCTAAGTTTCCACCAATTGTATATTGCTTATGGTTATTGGATAGTCATTGTGTTTATTGGTTATAGAGTGGAACCAATTGGACTAGTGAAGTAAGAGCTAGAACTAGATCAAGCAATAGAACTTGACCTTGGTTCTCAATTGGTTGAGTATAAGGTAAGTTTCTTTGTATCATTGTAGAAATGATAATTGTTGCTTAATGCTTGTGGCATGATGTATATGTTACTCATACTTTCACCTTGAAATAGGTGTTATTGGTAGAGATTGAAGAGTGTTATAACATTGAAGGGAAAAGTAGATGAGAAAGAAGAAGAAGCAAAAGCAAAGTCCATGTGGGATTGTGGAAGCCCATTATATGACTCGTATGAATTGGTGTCCCTTGATCATCTTATTGATAGGCATCTAATGACACTCCCATCTCTGCATGGATCATATGCTCTCTGTGATAGCACAGAAAGTTGTGTCGACAAGCTCAAAAGTTGTGGGGCCGAAGTTTTGACTTTTGCAGCAATGTTTTGAAATCTGGAAACTTCATTGGGGGCCAGTTGTTTTCTCAAGCAAATTCATGAAGGTGCCGCCATCCGTGATTGTTCAAGAATGCTCCAGTTGCAGCAAGTAGAATTTCGCAACCGACTCCTACAATATAGAAAAGTATGAAAGGATTGAATGATAAGTGTTGTATTGCTTTGTGGCAGATAGCCAATTATATATACAAATGACAACAAACTGAAACAAACGATAACAAACTATCGTAACAATACTAATACTATCGTAACAATACTATATGGAGAACAAACAAACTATCTTAACCAAACTATACAGATACAAGATATTAACAAACTCTTCCTAAAGACTTGGTCTTCATTAGTTGAAGAATAAGATCAAAGGTGATCTTATCCTAACACTCCCCCTCAAGTTGGAGCATGTAATGAAGAAATGCCCAACTTGCTGCGAAGAAAACCGAATTGCTTCATGCCAAAGGCTTTGGTAAAAATGTCTGCAATCTGCTGATCGGAACGAACATAAGAAGTAGCGATTGTATTTCGTAAAACATGATCTCGCACAAAATGACAATCGATTTCTATATGCTTGGTGCGTTCATGGAACACTGGATTAGCAGCTATTTGCATAGCAGATTGGTTATCACAATGTAAAAGCATTGGCTGTGAATGGGGAACATCAAGAGAGTTTAAGAACGATTTGATCCATAATAACTCAGCTGTGGTTGCTGCCATTGCGCGATATTCAGCCTCTGCAGAGGAGCGTGACACTGTAGGCTGTTTCTTTGTTTTCCAAGAGATAGGGGAAGTGCCTAACATAATAAAATAGCCTGTGACTGATCGCCTGGTAAGTGGACAGCTAGCCCAATCGGAATCAGAATAAGCTCGAAGAAGAAGGTCATTTTCTGATTGAAGCAGTAATCCTTGACCGGGGTTAGCTTTTATGTATCACAAAATACGTAAGACAGCTTCATATTGAGCTTCGGTGGGATTCTGCATGAATTGCGATAAAACATGGACGGAGTAGCTTAACTCGGGTCTGGTAATAGTCAGATAAACTAGACGTCCTATGAGCCTTCTGTACCGTGCTGGATCCGAGAAAGTGGGACTTTCTGTAATAGCAAGTTTATGATTTGTTTCAAGAGGAAAGTCACAAGGTTTGCATGCAAGGAGGCCAGCATCTTCCAATATGTCGAGAGCATATTTTCGTTGGCTTAGAAAGAGACCAGAAGAACTGTGAGCCATTTCTATTCCAAGAAAATATTTTAAAATCCCCAAATCTTTGATATGGAAGCATGAGTAGAGGAAAGTTTTGACAGCATTGCATGTGGTTGCATCATCCCCAGTTAAGATAATATCATCAACATAGATGAGAAGAGCGATGAAGTGACCATTCTTGTGTAAGGTGAATAGAGTATAATCAGCCTTAGATTGAGTAAAACCGTAGGACTCAAGAGATGACCGCAACTTAGCAAACCAATTTCTGGGGGACTGTCGCAATCCATAGAGTGATTTATATAAGCGGCATACTTGATGGGGTTTGTGATGCTGGAAGCCTTGAGGAACTCGCATATAAACTTCCTCTTTAAGATCTCCGTGTAAGAAGGCGTTTGTAACATCTAACTGGTATAATTTCCACTTCTTGGCAACTGCTACTGCCAGAAGTGTCCTCACACTAACCATCTTTGCTACAGGAGCATATGTGTCAAAGTAATCTTCGCCAGGTATTTGATTATTACCAGCCGTGCTTTGAATCGCTCCACAGTACCATCTGAATTGTATTTGATGCGGTAGACCCACTTACAAGGGATTGCACGTTTACCAGGTGGCAAAGAAGTAAGCTCCCATGTTTTGTTTTGCTCAAGTGCATCAATTTCCTTTCGCATTGCTAAACGCCATCGTTCATCTGTGACAGCTTCTTTGAATGATTTAGGTTCGACTCCAGAAGAAATGGCAGCAAGAAACTGTTGATGTTCGGGAGAAAATTTAGAACAAGAAACAAAGTTAGCAATGGGATAAGGAATACCTGAGGATAGACTGGAGGAGGTAGAAGAGGCTGCTGGATTATGTGCTATGACATTGGTGCATGTATAATCCTTGAGATATTTGGGAGGATGGCGAGAACGATGACCACGACCCAAAGTTTATGATGCAGTAGTTGATGGTATTTGAGACTGTTCATGTTGGTCGACTAGATTATCTGATGTAACAGTTCCTGGTAGTATGGACTGTTCATAGTGTGCAACCAAAGGTAAAGAGCGTTGGTCAACATCTGCAGGAGTTGTAGGATGTGGTGCAATTTCGCAATCAACTGATTGAGTGGAAGAAGATGTGTCGTGTGCAGCCGGTGTTGGTTCTGCTTCAACATGAGACTGCATCAGTTGGGAAACTTCAATGTTGGTAGGAGTTTCTGTTTGGGTTTCATAGGGAAAGATGGTTTCTTCAAATACCACATCTTTAGAGACAAATATGGTCTGTGTATCAAGGTTATAAAGCCTCCATCCTTTCTTGCCAAAAGGGTATCCCAGAAACAGGCATCGGACTGACCTTGCAGCAAACTTGTCTGACGATTTGGGACGTGGATGAGCATAACAAAGGCATCCGAAGACACGAATGTGATTGTAGTTTGGTGTACGATTAAAAAGGCGTTCAAATGGAGTTTGTCCTTGAAGAAGAGGTGTCGGGGTCCTGTTGATTAGATGAACAGCAGTGAGAACACATTCTCCCCAAAATTCAATGGGAAGATGAGCTTGAAAGCGTAGTGCCCGTGCTACATTCAAAATGTGTCTGTGTTTCCGTTCGACTCGTCCATTTTGTTGTGGTGTGTCCACACATGATGTTTGGTGTATAATCCCCATGTCTGAGTAAACCTTACGAAGATTAGTAGCACAGAACTCTGAACCATTGTCGGATCGTATTATTTTGACATTGGCATTGAACTGAGTACGAACCATCAAGAGAAACTGAGATAAGTATTGGAACATTTCAGTTTTAGTCTTCATTAAATAAACCCAGACATTTCGGCTAAAATCATCCACAATAGTTAAAAAATATCTTGCACCAGTTAAAGAAGCAGTTTGATATGGACCCCATATGTCACAATGAATAAGATCAAAACATGAAGTAGTTTTATTAATGCTAACAGAAAATACAGTGCAAGTTTGTTGTGCTCTAAGGCAAATATCGCATACTGAAGAAGAAATTTCCTTATGTTTATTCATTGTAACAAAAGGGAGAAAATGCAAGGACTGAAACGACGGATGACCCAAGCGACGATGCCAAATATCTGCAGTCTGTTGTTTTTGAGCAGTACATGCAGGGGAGGATCTTTTATTTAAGGAGCCATGCACATAAACACCAGCCTGCAATCTACCCAGTCCAATCTTGATCCTCGTTGTGGGGTCCTGCAATTCACATCCAGTGTGAGTAAAAGAAATAATGCAATTTGTATCAGCAAGTAATTGAGCAACTGAGATAAGATTGCATTTTAATTGTGGAACATATAACACATCCTGAAGAATAATATTGGATGTCAACTGAAAAATTCCTCGTTGAACTGATACGAGTTGATCACCATCTGGTAAGCCTATGGAAGTAGGTGGAATGGATTCAACATTCGAGATTAATTGAAGATTCCCAGTCATGTGTTGAGAAGCACCACTATCCACTAACCAGGTGTAATTTGGAATGTGCTTACCAGAAAGTGTTGTAGTATTAGCAGAGGGTGTAGAGGGAGAGACAACCATGTTGGCAATCTGCTGAAGAATCTCAGGAGCCAGATTTGGAACGAAATTCGGGTTGGAAAACGTAGGTATGGCAGCTGCGGTTTGTGGTGCATGAGAACTAATTGTGTAGTTCCTTTTGTCATAGGGTTTGCCACGTCCTCTACCCCGACCATAGGGTGGTTTGCCATGATGTTGGTAACATTTAGAGACATCATGGTATAGCTTACCACAGTGGTTGTCATTGGCAGCGGAAGAATCTGAATCAGCCATGGGAAATTGGATCGTTACTGTTAAACTGATACCATATAGAAAAGTATGAAAGGATTGAATGATAAGTGTTGTATTGCTTTGTGGCAGATAGCCAATTATATATACAAATGACAACAAACTGAAACAAACGATAACAAACTATCGTAACAATACTAATACTATCGTAACAATACTATATGGAGAACAAACAAACTATCTTAACCAAACTATACAGATACAAGATATTAACAAACTCTTCCTAAAGACTTGGTCTTCATTAGTTGAAGAATAAGATCAAAGGTGATCTTATCCTAACATACAACTATATATAGGGGTCAGATTGCATTTGTTGAATCATCGAGTGCGTTCCAAAAGCATCAGAGAGTGAGAGATGAAGAGAGCGTAGCTATCTTCATTGTGATAGGTGCTGCAGCTGAAGGACTGTGAAGATGCTAGAGAAGGTGGAAGAATTTGACATGGAAATAGTGATAGAGTAATTTTGTTGAATAAACGTTAAATGTGAGTTTTATTTTTAGTGGGTTTTGATTCAGCAATTTTTTTGGGGAATGAAAGGTCAAGAGTCGGCAGTTTTTTTTGGTTTAACGTTCAGTTTTGTGTTTTTTAAGTTTACGAAGTTATGTGAGTTTATTGTGGTGTTAAGTGTCTTTATGTATTCGCGTGGAGTTACAAGTTTTGTAATTTAAAACTATTATTTGAATGTGAAAGTAACTACTTCTTCTGCCTGAAAATTAACTCCTCTGTTTCTTATTCTTCTCCCAACAAATTTGAGACTCTCACAAAGGCACTAAAAAAGTTTTTTTTATAGAGGTAGGATCCTTTGACACCGATGTCAAATTTAAAGTTTGACACCTCATCTGAGAATCGTTAGATCAAAAAAGATCAATGGTGTCACATGCTTACAAATCAGAGTCGTTGATCTTTTTTTATCTGACGGCTCGTAGATGAAGTATCAAACTTTAAATTTGACACCAGTGTCAAAGGATCCTACCTCTTTTATATATATATATATATATATATATATATA